ACCCCTTTATTCTTCACTGGAAAATAGAGGAACTTTGCGAAATGCTTTCACAACGTTTGTGTCATACTTGATTGAGAAGTGATACTAAAGTTGTCGTCTCAATTGCCGTAAAAACCCAGTCAGAGAGACTGAAAGCGATGCCCTATCGTATTCATCCGGTTATTCTTTTTCACATTTATTTCAGAAATCGGAATATCAAACCATAAACGTTCAGCTACAGACGAAACCGGCTTAACATGTTTATTGAATGTGTTAAAAAATTACGAACACCAGCAGAAATAATAAGTGGAATCGGCATCATGCCATTTATTGTAGTGGTGATACCTCATCTGGCGCAATTATTACAGTAAAGACCGGCTTGATCACTACCAACGATCTACCGTCGAGGAAGAATAGGATTTGATAATGATGCAGCAGTAAAATAACCAACCGCTTATAACTGCAAATAATCTCTAAATGAGCATGAATCTTTATGTTCAAAACAGTGCCACAATTAAGCCACGTTTGGCACATTTAGTCACGCATCTTTACCGCAAAGCAGAGTCGGTACTTATGAGTGCTGTGAGTGCACCATACGAGTCTTCTAACTCTCAATCAAATTTCTTCCTGAGCTGTGCTTATCACTTTCACCCCACGGCCTAAATTAGTCCCTGTCGCGACAGCATTTGAAAACAACGTTATCGTACCGTACTGAAGTTAACCGCCGATCTGTCCGCAGGGTGAACCTCTAGAAGCTAGACAGTCGGACATTTCTCTCTAACAACGGTATCGTACTTAAATTGGCAGGGGAGACGGGAGGACAAACCTAAGTCAGATTTTACTAAGAACAAATTAATCACTGTATAAAGTACATATAAAAATTATATTAAAGCGAATTAATTTTTCTTAATAAATAATTCAGCAATTGTCAGTTTGACTAGTTGTTTGTTACACTTTTGATTATTCTTTAGACAAATTGTTTGATTGATCGTCTTCCTTTGTCTAATTAATTATCCTTGTCGTCGATTTCCGGTCAGTTTTACATTCATTCTCTATGGAGATGGACTTTTATCAGTAGCATTATTAATTATTATAATTTGTCGAGTGTTCCAGAAGCATTTTCGTCTTTAGGATTTTAGTCCTGTTAACAGTGGTCAGCTACTCTTCCAAAAATCTAATTCTCATCTTGTAGTACAAAGTTATCAGTTATGGAATATTCCAGAACTGATTGTTTTCTTTCACTTTGACCTTTTTGTTTCGTTGCTTGATCTTTTTACTCATTTTTAGCAACAACCTTTGCCTTTTTTAAAATCCGCTTTTGCAGCATTCAGTGTTAGAGGAAAACCAGCTTATTTCTACCTTCTATCACTTATGCAGCTTACCTATTCATCAACACTGACTGTTGAAACTTCCCCCAATTATACTTTACACTTATGCTTTGAATCCACTTCGCGTTGAAAGTATAAATGTTGTTCAAGGCCTTTAAGCTTATGCAGTTAATTCATGGCACAGCCTTTTGCAAAACGCTTTCTTAATAAATTTGCTGCTACGGCTTATAATTTTATTGCTTTGCAGATTTTTGCACCAGTAATAATCTGTTGCCTGTCTACAATTTACTGACCATCACCTGGCCAATTTTTAGAGCAGCAAATTCTGATGGCTGAATTGCATAACTGTAAAACACCGATTGTAGAATAAAACATGAGCAGCATTTACAGTTCCTGCCGCAGGTTTAAAAATCTACTATTCAGAAAACTTTATCTTTAAATGCTTTTTTGAAAAATTATGCGGTGACAACTAGGAGCGAAGTGTACTGCATATTTCCACTTAGCAACTACTTAATGGAAGAATATATCATGCGCGTTAATTGCTCAAGCAATTATTTCAAATGTTCCTGTAAGCTGTGGCACCGTGAGCTGTGGAAATGTCTTTTATTTTCTATAAGTCAAACATGGAGGTTAATTAATCAAAAGTGGCGACCGATAGTTGAGCGGAACAAATTGATAGAAGTGTTCGCAAAATCTGCTGTTAATTTCTGCATGCTTGTTTCATCCCCTAAATAAATAATTCATTATAACAAGTTTCTCTCCTACTGAAAGTATCAATGAAAAGTGGAAAATCTAATTAGGAATTGGTGGTTGGAGGACAATATAATACCGAAAGTTTGTAGATCGTCAATTTCCAAAGGACGTTTATTAGGAGAATACACGCCGGGTAAACCACCGTCCGAAACTCGCCTCTTGCCAGTTGTTTTCTAAAAATGTCTGACGTCCAACTAAACCCTTCGCTCAGTTTTGAGCCAACCAAATCAGTTTTTAGTTTTTCATTTTATTTTGGATAACAGAAAAAAGCTATTCCTATTGATCAAACCTCGCTAAACTAAAAATCTTATTTTAGTTATTTGTCCTATAGGTTGTTTTGTTATTCAAATTCAAAAACGACTTTTTAATTCTTTATGTTGGACCGCATAACAATGCTTTTAGAAGTCCCTAAACTAAGAGTCAGACAGCAGACTATCGCATCAATTCTAATCCTCTTTGCAAATCTCTTCTTAGTAACTGGTGCTCACGCCTCGTTTTTCAGGCACCTTGAAAATCTATTCGTTTCTTGGTTGAATAAAATGCCTCATTTTTAACTCGCGAAGATTATAATTTCTTTGCTTGCAAAAAGTAAGTTCTCAGGATAACTTCTGCTAGAAATTGGTCTTTTTGCCTATAGGTCGCTCTGTCATTCAAATTGCCTAATGACTAATCTTTTATGTTACAAGGGATCCCATAACAAAGCTTCCAAAAGTCCTTTAAGAACTAAGAAGATGCTGAATATCTCTTCATTTATCAAAAAACCACTTTTCTACTAGAATCTTACAGAGTAACCTATTTGGTATCACTATATATATATATATATATATATATATATA